TTTTTGGTCTTACAGAGTAGAATGAAAGACACAATTTTCAAGAGCTTATTTTGCCGTCAAACATGGAAGAAGGAAAATAGGTTTGAATTGTGTCCTGTTGTAGACACTAACATACATAACTGGACATAAATATTTGAGACATATTTAAAATAACAAATTACAAAAGCTTTACAGTACATATTTAAAAAATATATGATTATTACCTAATATCAATCCATAAACACCACATGTAAAATAACAGTCCTTACTCTACACTCTGGAAAAAACGATGTACATTATTACATCTTTGGTACAGACCCTCATCCTTCCACCACTGCTCAAAGTAATCACCCTATTTGTGAGCAGGATGACTAGGTTTTCTCTGGAAAAAATGAAAACAAATGTTGTATTGAACACTGTACTGTATTAACTGATCCTTAAGCTAGAGTGACAATGTTTTTTTTTGCAGAACTTGTACCAGAATAGGTTCCTTGGCCTGGCTGCCATGGCCTCCCCGACCCGCAGCAGCCAGACTCGTCAGCGCTACAAGGGTGCAGTTCGTCACAGTTACGGCCCAGACAGCTTTGCTGTCAATGGTCTGAATCAGGAGGACTTCATGATGGGATTGCCGCGGTCCACCAGTGACACTGATCTGGTCTCGCCTGATACTCGCTCCACCCTAACCATCAGCTCCTCCCACTACACCATAGCCCAGTCTGAAGACCTCGTAATCACATGGGATATCAAGGAGGAAGTGGATGCTGGGGACTGGATTGGCATGTATCATGTCGGTAAGTGAGCTGTGACATGATGACATTGAATGTTAGAATTTGAGATAGATACAAGATAAACAATAATCATTTAACTATATTTAATGATGAAACCAGTTACCACATACAATCAAACTTTAAATGAGTACTCATTGTCACAATTTAGATGGTATTTCGTCCCAGTTGGTTCCAATCTTCAGTGAGGCCAGACATGTTTGACTTTTTATTTTAAAGATAATAATAAAAAAAAAAATGAGAATAGGTTTAGCTCACTTGTGGCGCTTTTCTACTGCAGGGCCTCGTTCGGCTTAGTATGGCTAGGCCTTGTTAGGCCAGGCTGACTTTATGCTGCGTTTCCATTACAGTTTAGGAACTGGGGTAGTAACTATAGTAACGCAGTGTAGGCGGAGCCTTGACGTCATCTTCAATGCGAAACACAAAACCAACATCAGCCGTTAGCTGTTAGCTCCTCATATCTGTTCAGAAACTAGACAAAAGTGAAACAAGTACAAACCACAGACTGTCTGTGTCATGGCGAATACAGTCGCTGGTTTATTTATGTCTGTATAGGCCGTTGTTGTGAGTGTGGACGGTCGGAGCATATACTGCGTTAGCTTAGCCAATCTCCATTCAGAAAACACGCATTTTAAAAGGTTTTTCAGCTTCCGTCTGTCTGCAGACTTGTCAAAGCATTAATTCATGGTTTTTACTAACGGTATCAGTATGTTGTTACTTCGGCATCATTTTGAAAAGTATATTTCAATGAAATCACGGTAAAATATGTTCATTTTGTTGTAGTTGCCAGCGATTCTCTCACTAGTTTAGCATACTCAGCCCGGTTGTTGGCCCAGAAAGAACCTCGATTTTGGAGAGCCAGAAAACTGTGAAAAAGTACCCGCCAGCCGGAACTACGCCTAGTGGAAACGCAACCAAAAACGGGCCTGGCACGGCACGCTTAAACCGCGCTCCGCGCTGTAGTGGAAATGCGCCATTGGTAGAGCTGGCGGTCACTAAACTGAGGCTTGGTCCCTGTTATCTTTCTGCAGCATTAAGTCATGTTGCCCTTAATTCATCACAGCAAGCATATGATGTCACAACAATCAATCATTGTGAGCTGACCTGATCAAAATCCCAAAACAACTCATCTAAATACTAATTACTAAATAGACAGGGTATGTTGTGCACCTCTGATATTTTTCTGTGAAGCTACATGTTATCAAACATACATTTTTAGTTGTTAAATTGTAAAAATCCTCAGAAAAAATAAACAAGACATTAGATTTCAGCCATTGTGTTTCTGCTATACTATATGTCGTTATAATGCAAATACATCAACTTGTCCAAATTCCCAAACATTGTAATATTGCACATTTTTATTACACTAAGGTTTATACCAGTTCCTACACTATGGGGTGGCACACCTATTATTTCTAGTAGATCAAGGACAATTCTACTTGGAGAATCAATTGCCATTTATGTGACTGTAATGTAAAGTGTAGGGAAATTGCTTATAAAGAATAACTTAATCAGAGAATTATTTGAGATTGAGTAGCATTTTAGTTTGAAAGGTTGTTATCTCTTCCCAGACGAGGCTTTATCGGATAACTTTCTGGACTACAAGAACCGAGGCATCAACGGATCTCATAAGGGACAGATCGTATGGAAAATTGACTCCACCTCCAACTTCAGTGACGGTTAGTAACAAAAACACTTTTTCACAATATATATACATATATTTACACAAGACTTGACCCTATTCAGCTTCCCAAAATAGTTTTGTTTTAGTGAGACAGAAAGAGGAGGAGGATACGGTTGGGCTTTGGTTGGAAGTCTTTGGGCTGTAGGGTGTGTGGGTGTCGGTGTGTGCGGCGAGGGAGGAGTAGCAACTGCTGCAGGGAATCTCCTCCCCGTGGCTGGGGTAGGTCTGCCTGCTGTGGCGGCAAGTGGCCCGGACTCTTACTTCATGCTCCGCTGCAGCAGTTCCTGTAGGAGAGCACGGTCTTTGCTCTCGGTGGTGGTGCTCTCCTGCATCAGAGCGAGATGCTGGAGGGCGTGTCCCAGCGGTCTTTCTCCTTTCGACATGGTTCTGTTCAGGCGCCACCCGGAGATTGTCCTGTTCACCCAGGGGGAATGATGGAAGGAGATGAAGGATGTTTGCAAATAAAGGTTTATACACCTGCCAGGAAAAAACAAGGGGCAACATAAAACAGTCCAAATAGAAACAAACTCCAAAATAAGGCATATTTATACTTTTTATTTTTCAAAATACCAAACAGATCATGCATTTTAGCCATTCCTCATTTCGCTCAATTTAACACTGTCTTTGCATGGGCTGATTCTGTGAGAACAGCACCATCTACAGGCCTGGCATATGTACTACAGCGTCTCCAGCGCTTTCCAACGGCAATGTCCGTGGCTGTCTCCTCCTGATTGGTGGAGTTGGCCCAATAGCCGTAGCGCCACTTCTGTGACGTCACAGAAGTGTTAAAATCTGGATCAGTCTGTATCAGATCCGTTGCAGCCCCTTTTTAAGAGATTTGGGTATGGAGGAAAAGAGAGAGGGTTATGTTTTCTGACACTTGGTGAGTTCCCTGGAACACCGGGGACACATATTCATGTATAAAAGACAGATAGGTCACCTTTAAATTTAATATTTTTGAGGTATATTATTTTACACTTAATGGTTGTGAAAGGGAAGGAGTGTGTGAAGATTTGTGCAGTGGACTGGGAGTTAGTATGCATAAAAAGAAAAGTGAGGGAAGATTAAAATAAAAAGGCTTGGAGATGTCCCCATATTGTTGTATTGCACCACAAGGATAATAGAACAACAACTAGAGAATGCAATTCCTGAGGAAATTGCTAGTGGGAATACTTTATGCTGAAAAGCTCCACTTCGAGCGATAGAACTATTAACAAAGCACTTATATACTAATAAAGGACTGGCTTATCTAAAGCCAGTTGAGTAGCACTTGAAATGTTTTAGCTCTATGAAACCTGATGTACTTATTTGACTCTGTTTTCTTCAAGT